AAGCTGATGAGATATAAAAAAGCAAGTGATTTTTGTTCCAGTTTAGGAGGAGAGATGGTATTTTTTTCATGTTTACATACATTAATAAGCGTTTGCATGCCTTAACGTTTTGTCAAACTGTGTTAGAGCACGTTAAATGTGCTATAATAACAAAATCTTAATAGAAACTACATATTTCTGCAGGCATCAAAAGCTTTGCCGATTAGAAAATACTTCCCTAATTTACGAAGTATCCCGTATGTGGAACCACAATTAGATAGCTCGAGCATATTCGTCAGCAGGGTGTAGTCCTTTCCCTTCTCTTATCAGTCTTGGCAGTAAACCGACTATTTGTAGACATGGAAAGGGGGAAGCTGCAATGTCATAGCGTATGCTGACGACCTTACAAAAGGTGTAAGTGGAAAGTTCTCGCAAACAATCTCCGATGTTATGCAAGTAATACTAAGGAGGGTGTAAAAGTGGGCCAATTAAAACAGCTTAGGAGTAAGCCTAAACAAGAATAAACTTATACTATTTAACAAAAGCTACAAGGTTCCACGATTAAAGGCACCAAATCTGGCGAACACTGAAATCACGATAAGTGAATATTCGAATTATGAGAAACTCATAATGGATAAGAAACTAAACTGAGCACAGAAAACACTTGAACGTGCGCAGAAATCTAGTAAAGCGGCTCTATTCACCTGTAAAGATGTAATTTGGCATAAATGGGGCATGTCTTCCAGTATTGTGCATTGGCTATATATGGCTGTAGTCAGGCCAATACCTTTTAATGGAATAGTGGTCGGGTGGCTTGTTTTAACCAAGAAATCTGCCACAATTACACTACGGAAAATAAAAAGAACGGCCCAACTATCGATCAGTGGGATCCTACGTACCACGCTCACGGAAGCGATGAATGTGATGCTAAACATACAGCCCATAGGTGTTATGGAGAAAGCAAAATTCAGCGGGCGGGGCCCTCCGGTGAAGTGTCGCAGCACTTAATGCGGTGATAAAGAAGTTCGTTCTTCACCGGGACAACGACGTATATCAGGCAATGAGATGGTGGATGAGCTCGCAGGAAGTGGTCAGGTATGCCGCTCGCTATCTGCTAGCTCAACAAAGGAGCGAGGGGGCAGAGAGGAAATCCCCTTTGTAAGGGGTCTGTTGATGGGACATATCAACCTATATCACGCGGACACACTCTAGGTGCCGATTAATGGCATCAGCAGGACCTGAATGTCCCGCACTGCGAAGGAGTAAACTGAGCTTCATTGGTGCTGGAACGTTTAGAGACCTGAGGGATTTAGCGGTTATGAAGATAAGGCGATTGCTCAAATTCGTCAACTACACATACTGGTTTGCAGAGTTAAAGAGAACCCATATGGTTTCACAACGAGTCCGATTGAGGGCCTAAGTGTGCTGGTGTGCTCAACGGCAACCATTTCAACCTAACCTTATAGCAGTCGAAAAGAAATATTATGCAAACATATTGTAGTATTTTGGAGTTAATCTCCTTTTGAGAATGGCAATGGAATACATTGAAAATGTGTTGAGATAGGGCGCTTTTGAATCGGCAGCTGAGATAGGGAGTTCTTCAAACAAATTCTAAGATAGAGCGTTTTTTCAATCAAATTATGAAGTAGGGCATTCTTGAAAAGTTTTCTGAGATAGAGCGCTTTCGAACTGGCTGCGGAGGTAGGTTGATCTTTCACGCAGATATCGATATGCTCTTTCGGAAAATATTTCACGGGCGTTCTGTTGTAAAACGTGCCTTCAGCAGGGTCTTTAATCGAAACTTTCAGCTTGAGAAGCTCCAAAGTTTATAACAATTGCGCCATTCTATGCTATGAGCCATTCCCATCCGAAGACAATGAACAAGCAATGCCATTGAAAGAAAAATGGCTTCAAAAATAAACTTACGTGTAGGCAAATTTATACCGACCAAACAGTTACAGTTATGTCACCATAACACATGTTCTTTCTCAGTGTTATTACCAGCAAGCATTGAAAAAATGGCCATTACCTCAACAGCAAGAAAATGTAGGTACAACAAAAAACCAAAAGCATGACAACAAAATAGCCAAGAAACAGAAGTTGCAGTTGGGAAAAATGTGAAAAATAAAACTCATTTAATACAGAGCAATGACACGAGAGGAAAAGGAAGTGCGCACATACACAAAAAGGTCCTTGCACATACATATGTACATACATACACACATAGAGCTTGTTTTGTGTGTGTTTATAAAAACTGACATGCGGCAATAAATCTTTCAAGCAACACACAAAGAGTGAGTAAATGCGCGTAAATTGAACTCACTGCTGAGGTTAGCGGCAACGATGGGTCGAAGCAAAAAAAAAAACAGAGATAAATAAACAAAACTTGTCAATGGACGTAGCGATTTAGGGACAGCCTGGTGCAGAGCAGAAAAATGGAATTTAGAAGCCGCAACTGGTCACAGTAGAGAGGCATGTAGCGTGAAAAAAAGGAAGCGGATGTTGGAAGTGGAGGCGAACCGATGTGAGGATGTGGCTGAGCTAAAAGCATAAAAGTAAACGATTCAGAAGCGAGCGATTGTAGTGGTTGGACGAAATGGCATGCCAAGGATAAGCGGCCGGACTTCATCACAGCATGTATGAATTATGAGAAACTGCCATATGTGTCCATGTACGAGTATGTATCAGCAGCGCAGCAAACAAAATCGGCTTCTTGACTTTTTTAAGATATATTTCCATCATTTAATATATGCCAAACGACATACATACATACATTCACAGCTGTGTATAGACTACGCTACGAAAAAAAGTTGATAACAAAAACTGTAGAAAAAAGCTTTCAACCCAAAGCCTCTCATCTTCTTCCGTCCAATATTTTTGCCATTAATGTCTTTCTAACTTTAGTTGAGTGGCATTGTATTTGATGGCTTTCAGCATAGTTAGTTTTATTTATTGCCATCAAAATTAAGTATACGCAGTGGCACTTAAACACACATTTGGGGAGGGGAAACGCAACTACATACATATATGTATGTACATACATTTCACACCCACACAAACATATGTATGTAAAAGCAAAAGCGTTTAGTCTCATATCTACGCATTTAAGGCGAAATCCACAAAAACTTTTGCACTAAATATGTTTTCATTAACGTTGAGTGAGTGAGTGAATTTACTTAGCAACTGATTGACTTCACTGGCTCGGTGGCTTAGTGCGTGCAAAGTTTTGGCAGCTCGTCGTACTTTTTATTTTTTTTTTGCCTCTATGGTTTCTCAATACTTTGTTAGCGAGAAAGTTATGCGTGCACATGATAATTTTTTCCTATTTCCTCCCTCTACTTCGATTTTTTTTCTTACTACGCTTGCAACCAGATTATCTCTTAATTTCGCTTGTAATCCCGAATTTTCATTTTTCTGTAATTTGTGTTACTTTTTCATTTTCCCTTTTTGTTGCATTTATATTTTCTTCCTGGTTGTTGCTTCGAATTTGTTTCCTCCTTTCCCGTTAGAACGCGATTGCTTTGCAAATAGTTATAAACATCGAATTGTCACTTGATTGTCCATTTGTCCGTTTTGCAATTTGTTTGCTGAATTTTGTTGACAGTCAATTTAGTGTCTGATTGCAGAAAAATGTACTGTAATGAAATAAAATGAATTGCTGATTCGGGAAGTTTTTTCATTATTGTAAGCATTACATGTGAGCATTCAAGCGGAAATCCGTGAAAAATGGTTGCCTCATACTTTCGGTGTACAAAATTTATTGCGGTAAATTTTAGGTTGGAAATATTTTGAATAGGGTTGCCACCTGTTTTAAGAGTCGAATTTGGTTTACTTATACACTACTTATATAAAGTATTAAAATGCGGGTGTCAACAGAAGGAGTGTTCAAAAATCTTCAGTTTAAACATATAGAAATCGTTTGAGATGTTTGAAGAGTGATGCCACCTTTTGAAAAAGTTAAATTCCAACTATTTAATAAGTCAAATGAGTTACTAAAAAAAGGGTATCAATTGATAATGGTTTGAAAACGCTTTATTTCTGAACTGTATTTAGGAGAGTTACCACACGTTTAAAAAATTAAATTCAACTCAATTCATTAGTTAATTGAAATATGTACGAAAATCTCCGACGTAAAAGATTTAAAAAGTTTTTAGTTTAAAAAAAATTTTGACGGGGTTGCCACCTGTTTGAAAAGTCAATTTTATTTAACTTATACGCAAGCTAGATGAAATACTAAAATGTGGGTGTAATACGAAAGAGTGTTAAAAAATCTTTAGTTTGAACCTTTAGAATTTTGTATGGGTTTGAAGAGTGTTGCCATCTGCTGAAAAAGTTAAAGTCAAATGAGTTCTTCGAACAGGCTTTATTTCTGAACTGTATTCAGGATTGCTGCCACATTAAAAAAATCAAATTCAACTTATTTCGTTAGTTAATTGAAATATGTATGACAATTTTAGACTTAAAAGATTTTAGTTTGAAAATAATTTTAAAGGGGTTGCCACCTATTTTAAAAGTCAAGTTTATTTATTTTATAGACAAATTAAATGAACTATTAAAATATGAGTGTTACGCGAAAGAGTTTTAGGAAAAATTTAGTTTGAAAATATTTTTGATTAGAGTTGCCACCTATTCTCACCTGTTAATATCAATATTGGTATTAAGCACACTGCGGGCTCACTCATTTTTTTATTAAAGTTCATGTTTTCAAAGAGAATATTTTATAAACAATGGGCTATTATTTTAGCTTTCATAAAATTTGAAAAGCGAACTTCTATTTAATGCCTAGTAAATAAATACAATAAAATTTGTAAGCTAAATATGAGCACATTTCACTTTGTTTACTGTACACACAAATACTGATTCTAAACTCAAAGCAATATGCAATTATCATGCCCCAATTAATTTTGTAAAACCCCAAGCGAATTGATCACTGATTTGTCCTTGTACACCTTTGAGTTCACTATGCTGTTGTGTTTACATTGGTTGTGTTACTAAACTGGTTTCATTTTCTCTACTTTCAGCATAAAGAACTGTAAAAGTACGGCAAAAACCTTGATCGCCACTTCTACTGCTCTTCATAAGCAAAACAACAAAATCATCAACGTACAAGGTTTTCATTGTGCGTACAGATTGTGGGTAAGCTAATATACATTCTGTTGAAATAGTAATTATTATTACTTAAAATTACAAATTAAAAATTACACTTAATTACATTATGCTCCAATTTTTGGGCATTATTTTGTACAAAAGTGAAATATGTATGAATGTATAAAGCAAATGAGAAAATTATGAAATGAGTATAAAGGAAAAATGAACGCTTCCGCCAGTGAGCAACTGCTAGAAGTGTGAGTGAGAAAAATCGTGCCCAGCACTAATTGCAGGCAATTAATGTGCAACACTTCAAAGCATAGCACTGCAGGCCATCCCCATTACACACCCATATACCCCAACGAACAGGAGTAAGCACAGATGTTTACCACCCAATGCTGACCAGTACAAATAGTCAGTCAGGTTCATTATGGAGTTGTGGGTTGGCTGGCTGGCTGGCTGGCTGGCTGGCTGGCTTGGTGAAGGGTTGAAGGGAACTATTTAACTGAATAGAGTACTGGTCGTTGAACTGGCTGGCGGAAGGTCCACTGGGCGAGCGCCGAGTAAAGTCAAGAATATATGGAAATAAGAAGGTCGAGCGTAGCGCGCGCTAATTTGGTTGACAATCAAATGCAACGTATATATGTAAGTACGTACATACATATGTATGTATATATGTATGCCTGTGCGCAAAGGATTCGCCAGCATTAGAAATAATATGGCAACAAACTATATTTATTTTAACGGGATTTCATTGTGGTTATTTGCCGTTTGTGTTGTTACACCTTTTCACCATACCGCACTCTCCTCTTTTACGCCCTTTTGGCTCACACCCAAAACAGGGTTAGCACAATTGCTTTAGCCATCCACTCTTTTGCATCGCTGATAAATTCCCTGCGGCTAACCACACCTTTAACCCTTTGCGCTGTAATTTCTATTCATGACAAAAAATATGTTTGTTGTTGTTGCGAGCTCTATGTAGCCAACAAAGTATTTTTTAGCTTGCAGAGTGTCAGGAGAAACATATAAAAACACAGTGCGCGCTACACATTGTTCATTATTTGAAATTTAAACCAAAATATAGGGTGTTGCATTCTAGTTTATACGAATATATTTACACACATACAAGTAGTCGTACGTATGTATATGTAGAAATGCATGCATGTGTAAATACATACATATGTATGAATGTATGTAGACCAGTATCCCTGCAGTAAATTTTAGAGACAGTCTGGCAAAGCGCTAGTTCCGAACTACATACATATTTCAGAACTATCTCGGAACTGGTGCAAAACGGCTGCAGAGCGGGACATTTGAACTTGCGGTGTAAGTGTACAAATTCTCACTTCTCGTGCTATATGAAAGTCGCTCAGCGAGAAGACCTCCGACTCAAGCATCGTCGCGAGTTTAGATCGCGATGCAGGCAGTTGTGAGTTTTCAGATTTAATTAAACCATTTTTTTTTTTAATATAATATATTTAACAAACACGGAAAGTATATAAAATATGCATAAATCGAATTTTAAAACCGTTTTCTTATTAAAAAAAAAAAAACTGTCTAAAACGGAACCGGTTAAAAACTAGCTGCAAAGTAATGCCCTGGGCGACAATTGCCACCGCCAATGGCATCGCCATGTAAAACTGGACAGCTGAAAGCATTGCTTGAGGATTGAGCTGGAACTGGTACTCTCGGCAAAAGGTCGAGTTCTACGCTAGTTCTGAGCTAGTCAGATTTTCTGCAGGGATTTGTCCCAACCAAATTCAGAGTGTATCGTGTTGCACATAACAACAACAATTATCGGCTACAACACCATTTACAATTTGTTCCATATTGGCATTAAGTAATAATGGCTAAAATTACTCCGAACAAGTATGCTGTATTCATATATAGGTATGTATGTATTTTTGTGTGTATTTCCGTTTCCTTGTGCAATTTTCCTTTTCCAATTTCTTTCTACATTCCCGGTGTACCACATTCAACCCCCTTTTTACTGCTATTCCCGCATAGCTACTAAATTATGACAAAGTGGCCAAAGCAATGACCTTAAAGTTCGACGAAACACAAATAAGAAATACAATATGTGTGTGTACATTAGGGTGTCTCAGAACATAAGGACAAATATTTCTATACAAAATTCGACATGAATAATTTCTTTTTGACCTTTGTTTTCCTGACCGTTTGTTTCTCCTGGGGCAACGCTTGTTTTGTTTGTTTTGCTGTGTTTCTTTTAACTGAGCCAAAGTGGGCCACAGTGATGTTGTTAGCCAACAGAGCCAATTGAGCTACTGGATGGCATGCCTGCTATAAAGAATGAGCCTTGTAAAGCTGAACAACGGCAAATGTTTAAACCAGCTCTAGAAATTAGAAAGGAAATAGATTTTTGGTGAGTTAGGAATGCAAGGTGACTTTGAGCTACACGATACGAAAAGTAGTATTGCTCAAAGAGGCTCATTCCAATTTGAACCGAGTTGAAGGTTCTGCTCAACGTCAATCTGCATAGCAGAGATGTGAAGATCTGAACTTAAGATAACACGGTGAGGCAGGGACAGCTTTTCTCCGTGCCATCAAAAGCGGCGTTTGAGGGTCTTCTCCAGGAATTGACACACTGAGCGTATTCTCGACATGCATACGTTAAATTGGTGAAGGCAACATCGACTCGAATCGCTTGCATGCGCCACTATAAACTGTACTCTCAAGCCTGCGGAACTCAAGCCATTCATTAGCGCGCAGATGTAAATGCGCAAATGAAATTTAATTTCCCGGTCTCATGAGGAAGAGATGTTTGGTTACTACCATCCACGTTGAAACAGCTGATATGACGAAGAGTGCTCTGTCGACGCTCCACAGCATACAAGATCGAGGAACATCTAAAATTGGAAAACGTTTTTTTTTAATAGCGGCCGCCTCCCGGCAGGCAATGGTAAACCGCTGAGTGTATTTTTGCCTTGGAAAAGCTTATCATAAAACCATTTGGCGTAAAATTTTACTTCCCTCCATCTGTGTTACAATATCAGGACGCACACCAAAAATTGTAAAAGAAGCGCGGCCAAACAGTTAGCAAAAGTCTATACCCCAAGATGGTCTACGGTGTGTGAAGTATAAGCAAACTGAACCTGCGCCAAACTAACACTTAAGACTGGTTCAAAGGACCATTTGTCTTTATAGACAATCAATAGGCATCCAAGTCCTGTACTATAGAATGATCACATCCAGGCTTCCCTAAAGCTGCTGCGCTATGCTTCAAATTAAGAACAATGCGCGCTCGAAGCTACCGACGTCGCTGAAGATCTAACGCGAGAAGGATCTTAAACCGTCTTTGAAGGACTAAAATCAACTAGTACTTAGTCTCTGTTAGCCTTCTTCTACCGCCACACTAACTGAGTGGGAAAACTTAAAGCCATTACTGTCGTTATATCGGCCATTCAAATCTAAAATTATGACCATGTATCTACCGAAAAGTGTATCAAAAGAATAAATTACAAAAGCCGGCAATATCGCACAAGTCAATGGAGTGAAACTGGGTAAAAATATATGCAAAAATTGTAGAAACAGACACAAAAGCAAGAGCAAAAGAAAACCAAATATCAAACACCTATTTACACACATTTCACAGTGGCACAATGAAGACAAACATATATTTTCGAAATCTGGTAAGCAAGAAGTGTTATTGTTTTTCCTTACATTTTCTCTATTTTTGTATAAAAATCAAAGAAAGTCTGGCAACACTGTCGCATACTTTTGGTGTCGTTTTCTGTTCGACTAAAACAGTTAATGGGGGAAAATTCTAGGCAAAGCAGAACTGCTAGCCGGCGATTGAATGAGCACTCATACACGCACAGATGTGGTAAAGCAATCGAGGGGTTGTTACTGCTACTGCTGCTGTTGTTGCGATGTTGTCATATTTCTAACGGTATATGTATGCTTGTTTGTGCGTTGGCGCATTAATGTCGATGTACATGTAAATAAATACGCAACAAATAAATTTTCTTTGCAAACCCAAGCGAGATTGCCTTCGCAAAAAGGTTCAAACAAATCAGCAGCGGCGCCCAACAACAAACAGCAACCGCAGAGTAATTTAGCGACAGTGCGCCAAATCGACCGAAGGGCCGACCCACCGGCTACGAGGCAGTCCGTCAGTCCGTCAGGCAGCCGGAAAATGGGGCTCGTCGACTCGATGTCTGCTTTATAGGCACCCCTCTACGTACATATATTATAAGTACGTATGTAGATATGTATTTATGAAAGTGTGTATATATGTTTGTATGTTTTTGTTGCTAATGCGTTGGCATCTCGCATTTTCGGCATGGCTCTCTTTTATTTGTATGTCTGTAAAATGTGTAGTAGTTGTGAAATTTTGCCTTTCTTCACATACATTGAGGCGCTTTGGCTGAACAAAACTTCACTACGTTGAATTGGTTTTGATTTTGCTTTTGCTTTGGCTGGTGTTTTTTATACTCCGTTATTGTTGATAATATCACCAGGCGGTGTTGTGTATTGCCACTTTTCATGTTTCATCGGTGTTTTCACTTCCTCTTTAACTAGATGCCTTTGCTTGAGTCCTTGTTTGCTGCTCTTTTCCTTTGCTTTTCCTTTGTGAGTTATTTTCTTCATTTGCTTTTGCGTTTATTGTTGGCAAAGCTTTTACAGTTATTATTATTATTTTTGCTCTCTCTGTCACAGTGCTTACTGCAAATTAATGCGTTGTTGCCACATTTCAATTGTTTTGAATGAGCCGGACGCATGGTGAATTTCTCCAGCCATGGAGTTAGAAGTTTTTCTATAATTATTTTTTCTACTTTTCGCAATTCATTCATACATTTGCTGGTCATGCTACCGATTCATACAAATTCTCTTAGAATGTTTATAAAAACTTGCAGAGCAACACCGACTCATATAGCGTGCGCTGTTGTAGTGTTAATCTGAAATCACAAACATACGTGTGAACATAGCAAAATTTTCACACATGTAAGCATGTGCAATGGTTCATTGAGTGAATGTGTATTGGCATTTTTACTTATATTCTTCTCGCTTCTACAATACACTTGCTT